CCAACTCCCATTCCGAGTGCATAAATAATGCTTGTATAGCAGCTTCTTGCTCTTCAGTGACATTCAGAGTAATTCGGTACATATTGATCAAGACGCGACTGGAATCGAAATGAAGTGTTTCGATATACTAGTAATCAAAAATCAAAAATTCTAGGCTCTTTTATACTGCTAAAAATGAGTCGTACAGCCGAGAAAAAACTTGCACACAATTTATAACCTATCCACAGACAGTCGAAATAATAAATGGGTGATGTATATGTATATACAGTCCCGCGTATCCCGAATTGTTCGGGGATCACTTGATGATATTTACGTACGCCCTCGAAAAAATATTAGTTACTTGTTGGGCGTACGTAAATATCATCAAGTGACTATATAACCCCAAACAATTTGGGATACGTGTAACTGTGATATTACACTCAGTATACAAAATAAAGGAAATAAGAAAGATACCGACTTCGACATACTACAGGCATGTCACAAATTATCCAATTTTCATTTTCGATTAATCCGTTCCGGTACTATAAAAAAACAACGAAAGTCATACTCTTATATCGATCGTTATTTTATTAGTGAACAAATTACAAGAACCGATATTCTGTCAAACTTTGAAAATGACGTCCGGTATCGGTTTTGCTATCATATGAGATATAGTACGAATATTTCTATTGGCTGAAATTTGCGGTTGCGCCAACTTTTGATGAACGCACAACTTGAAGATGTCGGCAAGGGCATTATTCGTCTTTATCGTGGTGATCGATTTATTACCATTTCTACTTTTTACTGACTACCATTACCCCGATCCGGACTATATAAAATAATATGATCGTAGGTATTTGTGTTTTTTGATTTGGGCCATTTCCCTTTCGATTCTAACCGCCATTTCGTCCGTTTGTCACTTTACCATGTATTGTTTGAAAGCAGTTTATTGTCAATATCACAATGAGAGTGATGATATATTGCGAATTCCCTCACAAAAAGTTTTCAACTTGTAGTTTTTACGCAGTTCATGTACTAAATATGCTCCATTTTTTAAATATTTGTTATCGTGTTTGAATGTGTACTGCGTCTTCTATGGTGAAAAACAACAATGATACAATGTAACCGATTAGCTTATTCAGCTGCGTGTACGTCTCTCGTCCGCACTCATTGTGAATTTATATGCTTGTCATTCCCAAAGAAACCACACCATGTTAGTTAATATACTTATTTCTTGACAACACCAACCAAGTTTATGTTCTATTTCCGTCATTTTTTTGTTTTTGTCTATGCCAGAAAATAAACAACAACGGAAGCCTACGTTCGGACTTGAGGGACTCGTCGAAATACGAATTTAAATACAGTTTAATCTGCTTTCTGGCCTGAGTAACGCATGATATAAATTATTTCATCGTACCTGACACTACAATGTCACTCAATTTATGACTTTATGCTCCGGGCGATTTCTGTAACAGGCGAATATAACCCGGAACCACGGTCACTAAAAAAGACCGTGCCGGAACTATGCGTCTTCAATGTAATCACAGTGACTAAACAGTGATGTAATTGATCTCAGTTCGCTATGTTGAATAATCTGTTTTTAAATATACCCAGAGGATTACAATGTTCTGTAAACACACTCTGTGCCAGGTGCTGATAACGAGAAACTAATTAACACTGGACATTATGCATAGCCACTCCCCAATAAACAAGGATTATTTTGCGGCCCGGCCGCAAGTCATGGGCCTTTAATGTGATGAGCATTTTACTGTACGG